TCATTATAGAACGGCTTAAAAATGACAATGTTTGTAGGGAAGCCACACGCTTCGAATAGATTGAAAACTCGGTCATTAACGCATTTGGGACTGCGGATAGGTGGTAACTATTTTTGTCGTGCCGCATTGCCACAATGGGCCTCTCTATATAAATCTAAAATGACTGGTAAAGGTTGACTTTTCTAGTTCCTTCGCACCGTAACATTTTCTATAGTATTTTAGATTCTTAACTACTTAGTACACTGGAAATCTTCCCATTTTTTACATTTGTCAGTTGCTCAATTCTGCTTAAATTCTCAAGGCCACCTTCGAGCAATAGACACATCCTTTGTGAGGTGATCTTCCACCTTTCATGTTTCGAAGGGAAAGAAACAACCAATGTTCTGGGAGGAACTCAAACAAGCTAAAAAGACGCCAAATACCTTACCTAGCAGGGGAGCACGAAAAGGTTATGCTGGTATGATATAGTGTATTGTGATAATGTAGACGTATTTTTGCCACCCGACTTAGTGACGTCCCTAATCGACCTCTCTGTCCGAATATTTTACAAACTTAATCAGCAAATACACTCGTCAAATCCTAAGTTTAGGTAAGCTCTGAATAAGATAAACATTACAGAATTCCACGTACTTGGTGTATTCTAGAGAAGTTAACAAATAGCACTAGGTAAAACCAAACGGTGCTGTTTTGATAAAAGTCGTGCTCTCTCTTCCCGACTTCCGCGTATTATGATAAACATGTATGACGAAGGACCATAATGGCTTTGGCTGTGCCTGATTCAAACGGTCTTTACATTAACCCTTTATACTGAAAACAATTATTCATAACTCTAGCTGATGCTTTCTACAATGATTTTTTGTCAATTTTGATGTTTTCAAAATCCTGCAATTATTTCCAAGGTCAGTCACTTGTACGATGGGTAACACTTTGATTTAGTAGCCTTTCACTTCAGTGCACCCTGCACGGTGGGAGAGGGCAGAAAAGGCCGTGTGAACTCTAAAAATAATCTATACAACAATTGACCTGGTTCAAATAGTCGTGGGATTTCTGTGTTGGTCCAAGGACGTTTTATCAATAAAAAACGTCCTTGGTTTGCAGCGTGGGAATTTTGATACATCACGTGATTCTCCAGGTCCAGAGTTTTCGAGCATCTTCTTTTCATGCGATGTCATACCATCACATTTGACCAATCACAATCATTGATTTGAATGACGTTTTCGCCAATCTAATAATAGTATGGTATATATACCCTAACACTATAAAGTTGGAGAGCGGACAGCAAGCCGGCATAAGCCAACTTTGCTTCACCAACAACACTGAACCAGTAAGTACCTGCCTTTGTCCTTTTTTCTATTTTATTGCACATGCTATTTCATGATTCGAAGGAGTATATTTAGTTGATGATATTTTGGTATCTTTTCTACAGCTTAAAATGAAAAAAACAATAACTTTGTCCGATTCGTAACTTTTTGATGTCACTCAGATCAGAAATTCTTACTGTGTCACTCATTGTTGAAAAGCTCGGGTTTTCTTGTCCAACCTGGTCTGTGGTATCCTTTCTTTCGTGAATTTACATCGTAGCTAAGGCCACTCAGTGTTTATTAACTCCATAGCATAGAGTTTTGGCTCTATCGCACTTGTGCTAGAGAAGTTTTTCCTGCCCCCAGCACGGCTTGTTATACCCCATTCGAGACGCTGAGGTTCCTTGTCAATGTCGCGATCAAAGTCTCTTCGACTTTATATTTACGGACGTTCATTGTAGAAAGTTTCAATAAGGTCATGTTTGTTACTTTTGCCGTGAACTTTGAATTGAAAAAAAAAGTGTGGTTTTGGAAACACGGCGACATGCTTTGAGCCCAACCAAAGAGCAAGTTAAAAAGTAATGTTTTAGACTTGTACGTTCTTGGTTTATACTGTTCTAGTGTAGCGTTTTCTATCTACAAACTAAAGGTAACACGGTAGAGGTATTTTACTTGCTTGTTTGCTAAGTTCAGCAAAACACGTGCATTCGCCGCAGTATATACTAGCAGGTGACGGTGGCTTGTTTAACTGAGTTAAAACTTGAAATTGTTGTTGTGTTTTTACTTGTTTAAAAGCCTTAAATTTCTGGCTTTTATATCTTTCATAACATTTCAAGTATGTTGAGCGGCCCTGCAGAGATTTTAGCTGTTCCAACTGGGCGAAATATTGCAAATGTGGCCACCATACCTAGTACTGCCTTGACAGTCATTTAGTGTAGGCCACGCTTCAGACTACCGACTTTCTCTTCAATTTCACGGCCCAAACCTGAGATTTAGGCCTGCCTGAAGGTTAATTCTTTGCAGATTATGTTTCTTTAAGATGTGGATACTGCGATTCCTTTTTGTTAACAGAGAGAGGTCCTGTAACTTAAATATAGGCTTCAAATACCACTAAATGTACCTCTGACCTACATGTAGAGCCATTTTCACACACCGTTATGCTTAGGTCACATTTTCAAACTGCGGCCCGGCCGGGCTGTTGGCATAAGCGAAAAATCGGCAATTGTTATCAGGAATATACACAAATAGTATTTATGCTTATCTTCTAAACTTTAGCTGTGTTTTGTTGTCGTTTATAAACTTGTTGTTACTTTTTGTTCCCAAAAGCTGCCCAGCCGGGCCCAGGTTTGGAAATGTGACCTCATTTGCAGGTTGATTATTTCTTTATGTGCTCAAAACAAATGAACGATAGTAAAACTAACCTTTGTACCCCTGTGCACGGGCTGTGATCTCCTTTGTTACTCGCTCAAAGTAAATCCAGGCTTTTTGTAACTTGGATGCGGACATTATCAAGTTCCCATGTATCGTCGGGAATCTCTAGGATAGTGCAAAAGTGAAGGAAACTGGCCAAATTGCCAAAAAATGCAAAAGAGGCTGGATGTGATGTACGAAGTTGTGTTGTTGCGTCCACAGTCTCAGCTTACTTGTTTAACCTGACAGGGACAAAAACACAACCTGTACATATGTCCTCGGGCAGAGTTTCCTTCCAGCTCATTTAATGCCCCGGTGTCATCACGCCAATGTCGTCAGACAGGCCGCCATTGTTTACAGGCCACCGTAGTAGTATTTTGTCCCATTGTGCTCAGTATGCAAAATGTGGCCTTTTTTTATTCCAACATGTAATTACCAGACGTGGTGACGGCACAATCAAGTTTTGTCAACTTATATTAATGCCGCCACCAACACAGGGGACAATACAATACTCATTTTCACCTGAGCGAAGTGAGGAAAGTCGTGGTAAGTGCCTTTCCCACGGGCACAAGATCGGTGACATGTCAGGACTCGAACTCGGGACCTCTTGATTCCGAGTCGAGCACTCTGCCGCTACGTCACGCGACCCCACTGGCCCAAAATTTGCATACCGAGCACAAGGAGACAGAATTCATGAGATAGAAATACTCTAAACGGGACAATGAGTAAATACTGAAACATTTTCCACCAACTACTTGATATTTCTTATTCACCAATTTTACAACTTTTTTGGTGAATATCGTAACAACAATTTCTGAGGCTAGGGTACACACAAAAGTGAAATGGAGCAGCATGCGGAATTTTCTGGCAAGCTTTAATAGAAAAGGCCGGGTTGATTTGTATTTGGCGTAAATCCCTTGTCATGGTTAGGTCGCAAATTCGTCGGTGCCCGTCGGGGATGTAGCCCCGACCGGGCTTTTTAGTCTGGAGACGCCCGTTGTCGTGGTCTATTCGGGGGAGGTTTGTTGCATTCCAAAACGTAGTCCATTCCAAATCATGATTTGGATTAACACGTTTTGGAATGCAACAACAAGGTTCAATGAATATGTGACAGGGCCATAAAGAGGTTCCCACACGCACTCATTTTAAGTTGTTGGACAGGTGTCGCCACCTGTTATAAACCGCAGTGGCATTGTTAATCATATTCAAGACCTGTTGGCATAAAAGCCCAGGAAGCTGTATGTTGCTGATGCGAGTATAGTTCTACTATAAGTTTTGTTTGTTTCTCTATTTGTACAAATAAGATTGTGAAACGCAGATGGTTTAGTGTAGCAGAATATCACTACAGTTTTCATGTAGTTGATTGCAATTTATATTTCTGTAGACAGTTCGACGACTTGAACATGAGTGACTGATTCCTTTATAAACTCTTCCCGGGCTATGCCATCAACAAAAGTAGACGGGTGTAGTATTTCAAACTTTTCAAACCTGCACCACCTTTACAGAAGGAAAACATATTGCTTTTGCACAGTTTCTTCTTCTTTTGACATACAAATCTTGTAAACTTGTAAACTGACAGAATGCAATCCCTAATTACCGGTCTGTGTTCAGGTGGTGTACGCCGACACGATGGCGGGTCCGTGTACATCCGGGTTCTGGAGCTGGATGGTTCTCGTGCTGATGGCGACGACTGCAACAGTCACTGGGCAAGGTAAACTTCATGTTTTCATTTCTATTGGGGTATTGATATTCTCATACATCATTTTTGTTTCTTACTCGTCACTTATAATAACTAATCTGGCATTTGGTCGGGGAAATGTTGTTGGTAACATGTGATTAGCCCTTCATCTATGTTTTGTGAGTGCCTGTCTCTGAATAATTTTGGTCTTGCCAATTACCACTGAAATTTGTGAGATAGATACAGCTAGTGGTATAGATTTTGTAACATGCTCTAAACAATCCATTTAAGCCTTTCAAAGGTATGGTGCTAGTGGATATATAAAGTCTACATTTTTTCATTACATATCCAGTTGTTAGTGTATAAAGCTAGTAAATGGCAAGTACATGCATTATCACATCACCTATCTCCGCTTTCTTTTCCTACAGTGTGTTCAATAGCAGGCTACGTGTATAATTCTCGTTAAGTCAAACCTTTGGCTCATGGCAGTTGAACTGTTGTGTACAATCATGTCCCTTTACGACGTATATTTTGAAACTATTTTTCAATACGATTAACATTTTGGGACATGAAAATCAAGCTGAAATATCATCATTTTATCAGTTTGTCAGGATCCACTTGGGATGGAATCTGGAGCCATACCTGATGGAAGCATCACTGCATCTTCATCCTACCATTATGATTTACGGCCCTTCTACGCTCGGTTAAACGTTCGCAGCAACGGAGGTGGCTGGGCAGCCACAACCAGCATCATCGGACAATGGTTGCAGGTAAGTATACAATTTGATGGATTTAAAAAAATGCATACTTTTTAGTTTGTGCTTATTGTGAAAGGGATTGCTAGTATTTCCTGTTTACTTTATAAAATCTGATCTTGTGATTTGCTTCAAAGTATAAGAAAGTAATAAGACATTTGCTTTTCAGGTTGATTTGGGAGAGATGAAGCGCGTCACGGGCACCATCATTCAGGGTCGTAACCGGGACGAACAGTGGGTGACGTCATACAAACTCCGGTACAGTGCAGATGGGACTGTTTGGACCACATATGCGGGGAGCGACGGATCTGACATGGTAACCTACAGAAACATCTCATGAAAAAGAAAAATTGTTATGAAGGTTGCCCTGCATTCTTTATGGATACCTTTTTGTATTATAATAGTAAATATAAATAATATCTCCTTTATTACTTAATTGACACTACCCCAGCTGTTATATATCCCGTTCCAGCAATTTTTTCACAAGTCTTTCCTCTACTGATCGTCTTGAAAAGGCGCTAGGTTATCAGACCTATGGGCGTCGTCTGTTTAGGTATTGTATTTGATAAAATGTCCTAAGTATGGAAACTGTAAAGAAGATCTAAGGGTGTATTTAAAATTCCCTCATCTGAATAACTCTTTTACCTTCCAGGTTTTTCCAGGCAACGCGGACATGAACACTCCTGTGACGAACCTACTGGACAATCCCATTGCTGCCCGTTATGTGCGCTTCTATCCTCAAACCTGGCATATTCACATGAGCATGAGGGTGGAGATTCTAGGCTGCAGCACTGACAGTAGGTTTTTGGTGTTGTATTATTATATTCTAGTTCACTTGCAATCTTTTTTTTTATTTATACAGGTTAGCATATCGCCATTTTGGCGCTTTCAAAGCTCCCTGTGCCATACATAACATAATAAAAGGTAACTTAAGTACAAAACTTTACCTTAGGCACTTTGGAGAGCAAGTTTCCGTCTAGGTCAATACCTGCAATGTTTGTCATTATTAACCGAACGGAAACTGTTTTCCGTCTGTTTTATCATTTGGATTTCAAGTAAGTTGAGTAACTTTATTCTTAAAAGGGTAATTATGAATCATTTCCTACAGGTTGTCATATATGTGTGTATAGTTCTAGTTTAGTATACCTTTGGTTCATGGCGGTTGACCTGTTGTGTAAAATCATACCCTTAACAACGTATATTTTGAAACTGTCGAGAGATTTTGCAATTCTATTAACATTTTAGGGACACCAAAAACCAACTGGAACTCATCAGTTTGTCTTGCGCCACTTGGGATGGAATATGGCGTCATACCCGATGTACGCATCACTTCATCTTCGTTCTACAGTCCGGATTACCAGCCCTACTTCGGACGGTTATACGGAGTTCGTGGCGGAGGTGGCTGGGCAGCCCAAACAAACGTCATTGGAGAATGGTTGCAGGTAAGTATACAGTTTGATAGTTTTTTTTAAATGCATACTTTTGGGTTGCGCTGATTGGAAAAGGGATTATTTTCTGTTTACTTTATAAATGGGATCTGACTTGTGTTTTGTGTCAAATAATAACAAAGAAACAAAAATTGTGCATTTTAGGTGAATTTAGGAGAGATGACATACGTGACGGGCATCACTACACAGGGTCGGTACCGGAGGCATGAACAGTGGGTGACGTCATACAAACTCCAGTACAGTGAAAATGGGACTAGTTGGACGACATATGCCGGCAGCGATGGATCTGACATGGTAACCTACAGAAATATGTCATGAAAAAGAAAAACTGTTATTAAGTTTGTCCTGTATTCTTAATGTATACCTGTCTGTATGTAATGTCTCTTTATTTGACACTACCCCAGTTGTCATCTATTTCGTTCCAGCCAGTTTCTCACAAAGCTCTACTCTACTGATCGTCTTTAGGAGGCGCCAGGTTATCAAACCTATGGGCGTCGTCTGCTCATGATTTTATTTGATGAAATGTCAAAAGGAGATTGTTAGTAAAGAAGATTGAAGGAGTGGTAAAAATTCTCTCATCTGAATTATTCTTCTGCCTTTCAGGTTTTTCCAGGCAACACGGACACAAACACGCCTGTAACGAACCTACTGGACAAGCCAGTTGATGCCCATTTTGTGCGTCTCTACCCCCAGTCCTGGCATAGTTACATCATCATGAGGGTGGAGATTCTAGGCTGCAGTAATAAAAGTAATTTTCTGTTGTTGCATATTTTATATTCTAGTTCACTTGCAATCTTTACCTGATACCTTAGGCCCTCCTGTGCCTCCAGACACATTAGTCAGCAAGTTCCCATGTAGGTAATTTATCATTATTAACCGGACAAAAACTGCTTTTCGTCTCTTTTATTACTTGGATATATAAGTAAGTTAAGTAGTTTTATTCCTGAAGGAGTAAGTAATGATGAATCATGTTCTACAGGTTGTCATACATGTGTGTATAGTTCTAGTTCAGTCTACCTTTGGTACATGGCGGTTGACCTGTGTATACAGTCATACCCTTTACAACGTATATTTTAAAACTTTCGAGATGTTCTTCAATATTAACATTTCAGGGACATCAAAACCATCTGGGACATAATCTTTTTATCAGTTTGTCAGGATCCACTTGGGATGGAATATGGCGCCATACCTGATGGAAGCATCACTGCATCTTCGTACTACCATCCGGATTTACGGCCCTTGTACGGTCGGTTAAACGGAGTTCGTGGTCACGGTTCCTGGGCAGCCACAACCAGCATCATCGGACAATGGTTGCAGGTAAGTATACAATTTGATGGATTTAAAAAAATGCATACTTTTTAGTTTGTGCTTATTGTGAAAGGGATTGCTAGTATTTCCTGTTTACTTTATAAAATCTGATCTTGTGATTTGCGTCAAAGTATAAGAAAGTAATAAGACATTTGCTTTTCAGGTTGATTTGGGAGAGATGAAGCGCGTCACGGGCACCGTCATTCAGGGTCGTAACCGAGGGGCCGAACAGTGGGTGACGTCATACAAACTCCGGTACAGTGCAGATGGGACTGTTTGGACCACATATCCGGGCAGCGATGGATCTGACATGGTAACGTACAGAAACATGATTATCAATTATGACACTTATTCTGCATCCTTTATGGATACCTGCTTTTTTATATTCCAACATGTAATCACAAGGCGTGGTGACGGCACACTCGAGTTTTGTCAAGTTATATTATTTTGTGTCAAGCAAATACTCCCAATTTAAGTATTTAAATAGTATAGAGAAATTTATATTCCTTGTAGTCTTTAACAAACCAGCTCTACTAATACAGCCAACTACATTTATAAGATTACCAGAAAGCGAGAGGAAGTTGAAAGTACTTGTGTACTATAGCCGTTTTATTATCAACATTGATGATGTACTTTGTCAATATGTGACCTGTCTTTAGCCCAGTGGGGCAAAATGTACAATAAAGGTCTTCATTCATTAATGCCGCCACCAACAAGGGATACCTGTTTGTGTAGTAAATATAAATATATCTTATTCATTTGACACTACCCCAGCTGTTATCTATCCTGGACCAGCCATCTTTTCACAAAACTCTGCTCTACTGATCGTCTTAAAAAGGCGCTAGGTTATCAGACCTATGGGCGCCGTCAGCTTAGGTATTGTATTTGATGAAATGTCCTAAGTATGGGAACTGTAAAGAAGATCTACGGGTGTATTTAAAATCCCCTCATCTAAATGATTCTTTTACCTTCCAGGTTTTTCCAGGCAACGCGGACATGAACACTCCTGTGACGAACCTACTGGACAACCCCATTACTGCCCGTTTTGTGCGCTTCTATCCCCAAACCTGGCATAAGCACATGAGTATGAGGGTGGAGATTCTAGGCTGCAGCACTGACAGTATGTTTCTGTTGTTGTCTTGGTTAGAGTCTAGTTCACTTGATGTGTTTTATTAAATGTTAGTCTTTACTGCAAATGCAGATTACATGTGATGGAAGTAGTACAAACTTGGTAAACAGACATTTCATGTCATAGGGTCAAGGGAAAAGGGTACAAATTCACGGAAAAGTTTTATGTCTGGTCTGCATGTCTATTGTTGTTGTTTTCAGTTCATTTAGTTCATTAAATAGCCACCATTTAAACATCGTGACATTTGCAACGGAGAAAGCGACAAGCCCATTTTGTTAATTGTTGTCTTAAAAATGACGTTTCAGCTTTGAAATAAAGCAAGCGTTGAAATACAGCAATTTTGCAACATGTCCTAATTAGTCCACCTGATCCTTGAAATGAAATGCTAGCGGATGCAGTCAACTGTAAAAGTACATCAGTCATTAGTTAGGTGAATGACAGATACATTTTATCAAGACATCTACCCCGAAATTTCCTTTTATACAGTGTGTCCAATAGCAAGCTACGTCAGTTTTGACGGAGTTTGCTACAAGGACTTTCCTGACCAGCAGAACTACACTCAGGCTAGACAGACGTGTGCGGCAGACGGGGGACTGCTGGCCATGCCAAAGAACAGTGCCATCAACACTTTCATCCACAATCTGGCAAGAGACGGAATACGTTGGATTGGGCTGAATGACATCGACAACGAAGGGCAGTGGGTTTTTGAAGACAGCCAAACACTTGCGTCATCCGGCTATGCCAACTGGGCCCCCGGTGAACCGAACGATAGTGGAGGGGCCGAAGACTGTGCCTTGGTTTTTGGGTCCACGCACACCTGGAATGATGGACCCTGCACCGTCAGCACGGTAGCATTCATCTGCCAGCTAGGTATGTGCTGTAATTTCCAACCTTAATGACTGTTAAGGATGGGGGTTTGAAGGTGTATGTTTGTGATACAATTTTGGTGTAAAATATTACTTGCTGAAGTAAAAATGACATCTCTCAAATGCTTGGCTTGTCTGCCACTGTATGTCTTTAAAGTGATTATATTCAATATTAATGGGTTTGAGAGGCTTGCCTGCTATAGAAATTTTACGACGATGGCAATTGATTGGCTGAAATGAGGCGTCTTGTTGCTAAATGGAATTTTTGGTCAATGGAACATCAACAGATGCAATTTTATTTTCATAATTAATGAGTTAATGAATTAATGAATTAGTGATAAAGCAAGAATGTTACAAAGCTCTAAATATCTACTATAGTTGTAGGTACTGTAGTTGAAGCCGGGTGGTCCGACTGGGGCGCATGGTCTGGCTGCATCGGTACCTGTGGAAACGGCACGGAGACTCGAAACAGAAGCTGCACCAACCCTGCACCAGCGAACGGAGGGGCAGACTGTGCCGGACCTGCTCAGGAGATACAGGAATGCGACACAGGAGTGTCCTGTCCAGGTAAATGACTTAATAATGATGTCACCATGGATCTTAAGATCAGTTACGAGGACATGTAAGATTCTCATCTAGAAATAAGTTTCTTGCTTCATGGACTATGAATAGATACAACCAGCACTGTCAATAGAAATTATTCAAAGGGACGAACTTTCAGTTTTTCCGCGTACATTAAATCTTAATTTGTCTCAAATTAGTTGACGGTGGTTGGTCCGACTGGGGCGCATGGTCTGACTGCAACGTGACATGTGGAGTCGGGACGGAGACTCGGGACAGAACCTGCACCAACCCTGCACCAGCGAACGGAGGGGCAGACTGTGACGGACCTGATCAAGAGACACAGGCATGTGACACGGGGGTGTCTTGCCCAGGTAACTAAGTTATTATACTGCCGTGAATATGGATCTAAAGATTATTTGATATCAGGAATTGTAAGATTCTGATCTTAAAGTCATCTTTCTTACTTTTTGGGCTATGCATGAATACCAGCAGTGCCTACAGAAACCAGATACTATGATACAGGATCGGCTACGTAAATATATTAACGAAGATTTCGTAGTGCAAAAATGAGGTAAAAGATTGCCCGGAATAGGTCACCTCGTGGTTCGTAGCTGTAACTTTCCTGCAACTGTAACGTCGTTAGTTAATACACCCCTAGCCCTTGACAAACCACACAATGCAGATTTAGAACAGAAAAAATTCGCTCTCCTTATTGGCCAAGGGAAAATGACTAAATGTAATTTAGAGCCAATCAAACATCAACAGATGCCAAAGGGAAGACTGAAAGACAATCACAGTTCGGGCACCATCACTAGAAAGCTTTAATAGTTTAAACAACTGCTGCATAAACGTGCAAAGATTGAGTGTAACAAGTCGTTCGGTGTGCTATAACACTAGGACCAGGCACCACCTCAGCTACCGTGACGAGTCTGCCAACCACGAAATACACCTTCACCCTGACTTCTTTCGACGAGGACGACGAGATAAACCGGGAGATCGGTGGCACATACGCCACATTTCCAGCGGCAGAGCTATCGGGGCTGACCCTCGATGATGCCGGGATTGGTCATCTGACCGTTTCCTGGACAGTCGTGGGGAATCTTCCGATCTCGCGCTACAGTCTCAGCTACCAGCCGGCAGACGGGTCGGGCTCGTACCAGGACCTCTCCCCCGCACCAGGACCGGACGCCACCTCGGCAACAGTGCCGGGACTGCTGGCCGACACGGAATACACCCTCACGCTGACTTCTTTCGACGAGGACGACCAGCCAAACGGGGAGATCAGTGGCACATACACCACAGGTGGGTGATGATGCATTGAATGATGCATTGAATTCGGAGCCTAACAGGAGTTTGTGCTACATCGTATATACATGTACATTGTAAGCAATCCCACCCCTGGATCAGAAGGTTAGGGGTTCGAATCCAAAATCACCAATTTTCCTGCTACCGAGGCTTGCAGTTCATTATAGTCAGTCATACAATACACCCAATCATACAATTTTCTCCCGCAAATGATGAGATGTTTCTCCAGGTGGCACTCGAATTCAGTTGTGCTTCTTGTACTTCTTTGTGCACTTGAATTCTTAGTAGAAGACTATGTTTAAAAGAAAGTTGCCAGTGGGCTTTTGAATGTAACCGTTTCATTCCCTGACTAAAGGTTTGATGTTAATCGTTTACTTGAAATTGAATCTTCTCAAATTCTTCTCTCAGTGTACATCAACATGGTTATACATGGTACATAGAAAATGATACAGCATACCGTCTTACGGTTATCATTACAGATTCGTTTGTGGTGAACGTAGTGTGCGACCAGGACAGTATGAGTCTGTCCATCCCCCGTGCGGCGCTGCCGGCTGTGAATGTGGAGAACCTGCACCTACTGGATCCGGACTGTGGAGCCACTGAGGACGAGGACGAAGACGTCTTTAAGCTGGAGACACACCTGCAGGAGTGCGGAACCCGGCAGGAGGTAAGACAGAAAACCTCAGTTACTCCCAACCTGGAGTGTTGTTAACTCAAGTGGACATCTTTGGAATTTTCTTGTAACCTACTGTAAAATGGACATGGTCCAAAACAATTTGCTTCACTTAAAATTCCGTGAATAGTTTCACTTAAAATTGTTCTGTATAAGTGATAGGTACCTTTTTTAAGCCAACTGATTTGAGGTTCCGTGCTTTATCCCTTTTTAATGCATCTTTTATTTGGTTGCCGTGCCTCTTATATTTCCTCAGACCTCAGGAGACGACAAATTCATCTTCTCCAACGAAGTCATTGCCAACCAAGTGACTCAGGCCAACGGCGCTGTGCGTAACCAGCCGGTAAACCTGCCCTTCCAGTGCGAGTTCCTCCGTCAGCACGTGGTTTCCCAGGGCAACGACATCATGTATAACATCCCCTCTCCTCGGTAAGACCCTCCCTGCTGTGCCTTAAACATGCATAGAACTATCTAAAATATGCCAAAAAGCAGTTACTCAAGCAACTGGATATGATTTTGAAAACGTCAGACGTTTCAGCTAGTATCCACTAGCTTTCGTCAGTGACTGAGAGACCAGAGGAGAAATGCAGGTTTATACGCACAAACTAGTTTGTTCATACGCACAAGTAGTTGGTTGGATTCAATGTTCAGTTTAACTGCTTCTTTAACCAAGTTTTTCAATCTCTTTGCAGCCTTCAAATCATTGACGCCAACAACAGCTTCACCATGGAGATGCATATGTACACTTCGGAAGACTTCAGTGCAACCTACAAGAGTTCTGACTTCCCGCTTCAGGTCAGAAAGTTCATCTAAGCTTTACCATTATAATCTTATTGTGTTCTGACACAAAAGAAAGACATCTACGAAATGGACAAATTATTGATCAATTTGATTCAACTTAACGGCTTTAATTCTGATGATATAGATTATAGTTATATCTTAAAAGTGTAGTGATTTTAGTAAAACCAAGTATTATGCCTTTACTAATTGATGATTAGTTGATTTGACCATTTTAGTCATCATTAGTTCTCTGACCTGACCTCTGATTCTTAGTTCTCGATTCCTAATTCTTAAAGTCTGTGTATGTAATATGTAAACCTGTACTTATTTATATATTTGTTTTATGTGTTTGTATTGTTTGACGATCTATCGAAGATTTATTCCCGTAAAGAGACTAAAGGGCATCTCAATAAGCTCACTGAATAGAAAGAAACTGCTCTGGTACACCCCACAGGTCTCACCATCTGACCGTCTTCACTTCGGCCTGAGCGTGGCGTCATCGCTGGACAACCTGGAGCTGTTCGCCCGTGACTGTGTCTCCACCCCCACCACCGACCCTGACGACTCTCCTAGGGTCAGCATCATCGCCGATGGGTACGTGTTTGACTACATTTGCTTAAATATTTGATTACTTAGAACTTTATTTGTTTGGTTGCGATAGGTGGATAATTTTGGCTGCCTAGTTAGTTACTAATAGTTTGTTGCTTGGTTTGATGTCTGGCTACTAACTAGCTGGCTGGCTAGCTGTCCTGTTTCTTGGCTAGTTGGTCATTTGGTTGTGGTAGGTGGGTGAATTTGGCTGCCTAGTTGGTTAGTTTGTTGCTTGGTCTCTTATCTGGCCAGCTAGCTGGATGGCTAGCTGACAGTCTGCATGGTTTATTGGCTAGTTGGGTGGAAGCTTTGTTGAGTACCTTGGATTTTTTTCTCATTTGTTTCATTGTTAGTGAAATACGTTGGTTGGTTGGTTGGTTGTTTAGTGGTTTGGTTGGTTGGTTGGTTGGTTGGTTGTTTAGTGGTTTGGTTGGTTGGTTGGTTGCTTGGTTCTTTATGCAATATTATGGCAACCACAGGTTACCTTTCAGTATGAAAGAGTTTGGCTATAAATGACTTGTTCCATCTGAATTTGCAGCTGTCGGGTTGATGAAACTCTACAAAAGGACAATGACCTTTCTAACGACAAAGCCCTGTACTACAGTGTGGCCGCCTTCACGTTTCCCAACGCTCTCGACCCCAGCCTGGTAGAATACATTATATTTGAAAAATGTCACTTTTGTGGCCGTGGTGACTGGTGGGTGGGGAAGATTGGATGGTTAAATGCTTGGTGATAATTACAGTGCTATATGTCATATATCTGGATGCCAAACTCTTCTAAAGCAAATTTTCGGTATCATGAGTTTGAGGACATGCATGCACCAACACAAGTGATGGGCCTGCTGAAACAATAGAACAGCAACAACAAGAAACGTATGTTTCAAAAAGGTTGGCGAAGGTTTATGGGTCTGCTCAATGATGTTCCTGACTGTCAATGACATATTCCATCAGGTGTACTTCCACTGCACCATGATGATCTGCTTCAAGGACGACCCTGACTCTCGGTGCAAACAGGGCTGCATCCCGCCAGCAAGGCGCAGGCGAGCCGTCTCGGACGGGACGGAGGGCAGGGTTCGCCGGGAGAGCAGCAGGGACAAGCAGGCGGACATCACCCAAGGACCCTTCCAGGTGCAGTCCGGAGAAGCAGGAACAGGTAGATGATAAAAAAACGTTTTCTACAGCAGTAAGGAAGACGAAATTTTCACCCATTTCGCGAATCGGGAAGGATTGCTCACGAGGCTACATGTATATGTATATTTCATTAGGCTTTCAAAACTTGTTCCTGAACATATAGTAGGATATGTGCAAGTCTTGTTTTCAATTATTTTGTGCTAGATGCTGCTTACATTGTGCTTGTGTATTAGACCTTTGCCTATTGATGCTTGATTGTGAGAAAAATGAAAAACTGAAGCTCCGCTCAAGGCAAACTTTCTTTTTGTCGCACAGGACCAGCCGGAGTGCCGCTGGGTACCGCGGTGGGAGCGGCTGTTGGAGTTGCCGGGATCATGGTGCTTCTAATCGTGGCCGGTGTTCTGGCGAAGAAACGGGGCGGGAAGAAGAAGCGTGATGACGACACTGTCGGTAAGTCCCTGTAGTTTTGTTCTAGCACTTTGTGACATGTTAATATTTGATACCAACTTATAATCAGTATAGTAGAAATTGAATCAGTTATTTTGCATCTATATGTTTTATCCAAGAAAGAAAAGTAGACACTGAATTAGCATCTTTCTTGCAAACCATTTTCTACTTTTGATGGTATATGTAAAATCGCAAGTCTTGACAAGTCATTATATAATGCAAAGCCACATAAACTACCCACTAATCAGTTATTTTGTATCTATTTGTTTCATCCAAGAAATAAGAGTAGACACTGAATTAGAATCTTTGGATTGTGGCAATTAGTTTCAATTAGTGAATCATGTTTTCTCTGTCAGGACTTGACAACTACGCGTTCCAGAGTTGGGGAAATATGAGCAAGACTGGCATTGCTGACACCAAGGCCTAAGCGTTCTACCAGGACCAGAGTTATAAACACTGAAACAATGTACTAGTACATAATTCCTACGCTTGCTCTAATCAAGGAGGTTAACCTCCTTGCTCTAATCTTTACCAGCCTCCTTAGCAGGTTCTATGACTGGGCTTTTGGGGCGCTTTTCTTTAAATTTCTATCTGGCAAATCACTTCTTTTTGTACTTTTGTTTGTACTTTTTACAGCTAAGGAGGCTACGCCCTGTCATGCTTTCTAATAGTAAATCTTCTTCAGTTTAGGGACCTTAACCAGCATACCAAGCATCAGGCCTTCAACAGAAAAGGCTCTCAGTCTAACCGAACAGTGTAGTGAACTTTGTAACGATAAAACAGTAGCATAGCCATCAGTATCATCATCAAAGGCTCTCCATCTTAACTTAGACACCGTGTAGTGAACATCATCATCATAAAACAGCAGTTTCGGTTCTTCATAGCAACCTGTAACGAGCTTTTTTTTATCATGTCGATAATAGATAGTATTAGTCTCTCTGGCGAATTTAAGAGAATTTTACCTCCATGCCATTGTGAGTATAGGCTATCTGGTGACGCTTAGTTGTGAAAGAAGAAAGATAAAAGTTAGCTGGTGGCTGTTTTTTATGTTTAGAGCTTGGATTAGGTACCAATCATTTATTTCGGGTCGTCTTGGTGTTCTGATCACCTACTGCTAGACTTTTGTACAGATTACGACAACTAGTCTTTTTCCTAACTTCTAAATTGACATTAACTGCTGTTATAGTATAAGGGAGCCTTCCCTCTTATAAGTTTTTATACAAAATCTCTTGCCATTTTTCTAATATTTCAGAGTCTATACACAATATACTTCTTTCTCTCTCTACTTGCTTAAAAGTATTGCGGTGAAAAAATGGGCAATGTGACAATGACTCAATATGCAGAACACATTGGTTAATGTGACATAAATCACTTATCAATTCCTAACAGAACTACATCTATGATAGAACACCATTTCTGTGCTAAACGTTTCATTTAGAATTGCATTAAATTTGTTCGTATAACGATCATGTTTTAGATGGGGGGATATCTGATTTAGCAGTCGTTTGTAAATTGTTTTTATTCACTTTTGAAATCTACATTGAAAACATGCATTTGAATAAATGAAGGCTAAACACATTAAGTTCTTAATTCTGTTAACAAGTGAACTGTTGTCTCTTGATTACTGCGTTGTAAGATGTAGATTGGCAAGATGTACTGTGTTATTTCTTGTGATGAGACAAGGAAACATCCGGAGTTCCGTACATACGGAATAAAGCGGAGTCATGGGGTCACATATCTGTTGCCTGTGTCTTTTGTGTTGTCGACCAAGTAGTGTTCTATTGTGGTCTCCACTCATTTGCAGACTGAATAATACAAATAGTAGATATAGGCCCAAAATGAATGTAGTTGGCCAGGGGAGTTGGCGGGCCATGCAGGCAAACTAGACCCTCTATGGCCGGCTAACTCTCCTTGCCAGCTAGATTTATTTTAGGCCGGTTTCCATTATTAGTATTATATAGCAGAAAGTCCAAGTGCACAAACCGTCAAGAAAACTCAGACACGAGTTCGGAGCAGACGCGTGGCTACAGCGCCCCCTTTGGTCTTGTCGTGGACCTGCAGGGCAACGTGCTGGTGACGGACGAACCGAGCGGGCGGGTGAGTGCGTTCGACGGGCGGAAGTAGCCTCTATCAGGTGATTCGATACGTACTTTGCTGCCTATATGTAATGTTCCTGTGCAATAATGTACATGTATGTACCAGTTGTTCTTGGTAGTCCTTCCTCGTCGAAGTGTGCTCAATCACGGGGGATGAGACCTCATGTGGCTTCTTCGTCCGAAGCTCGAGGCACAAAGCCGTCCACATTCAGGCATTAGTGATTGGGGATCAGTATACGTAGTACCCACTAGCAAACAAACTAATGGTAATACTCTGTGGGGTACATGTGTTACAGCATTCAACCCATCCACAGTTTGCAATCTTAGCTGACATTGACCTTGTCTGTGATATTAGATGAAAAGTAAGCATGCATGTAAACATGAGGTATACAGGAAATTAGCGCACAGCCATTAAACGCTGCATCTTGAATCATGTCTTGCCAATAAACTTACTTTGAAAGATCACTTGTTGCTCTGGCTGATATGTTCGTTATTACTAAACGATCCATTATTTGAAAAAAAAAACACGCGACTACTGGCTCTTTATATTTTTCGCTATAATATTTTCCATTTCACGAATTTGAAGAAAAATCACCGAAGTGGTATCACACTTCTACTCTATGTCACAACTAAACTACTAACAACCAATCCAAGTTAAGGACAGCCCATGGGTTGACAATTTATCTCGATGTACCGATGGCGCTTATTTCATGCGATACTCGTCGTTATATGGTGGTCGATACTCGATGTTGAACAGCTGATTTAACATCCTATTTTCTCATGACAAAGCAATATATGGGGTTATCATTATTCGATATAAGTGCCGACAAAACAGCCATATAGGAACAGGTGAATAGGTTGTTAATACAAGAGATAACCATGTGTTTTTTTTATTCAGCATACAGTAAACAAAATAATAGTACAGGACAAAGTGACGACGGGCTCAAGTTGGGTAACTTATGTTAGCGCCGCCACTTAAATGAATAAAACTAATATTACTAAACAATGCAAAACACTAACCAAGAATACATGTAAAAGAACAGACAGCACAAACAGTCGAATTGATGAACTTGAAATGAAGCGAGAGTCTACATTCCCCACCCAAAAGATGAAAAGGACACAAATAGAATTAAAAACGTTTTGTTGCTAAAATGTAATTTTGGGCGGTTGACATAATATTACAGTTAACTTGAAAAGGATAAACCGGGGAACCGTTCAAAATTAAGAGTTGTTTCGCTCTATCTGAAAGAGTGTGTACGTTAACAGAGTGTCCCAAGATCCCAGAAAGTTTGCTGAGGAGTTCTGAACGGTGGAAGTTATGTAAAGGGCAGTGTAATAGTGGGCAAATACCCTGTGTTTAGTGGGCAAATACTGACAGACCTTCAGAGAGTTTAAATACCACCTTATGTAAGCAAGCACTACAGTATTTAACGCAGACTGGCAACGCGTAGACTTGTTACCATCATGTTCTTCTCCGTTATACTCATCATTGCCGCCAGTAGCACCGTCTGTGGAACATCAGAGCCCCTCGACTCTGTTCCGCCGGCATCTCGCAATGTTGCTCAGCACGGAGCCCAGCAGGCAGACGCTGGCAATGCTTCACAGCTTGCAGAGTCGGGGAGTAGCAATGTCGCCAGTCCAAGCGAGACGGCGAATCTAATGGTGGCTGGTAAGTAGCCTCTACCAAGCTTCAGGAGGCGGCTGGAAAGAGTAGAAATCAGCCAAATAGAGAGAGATAATAGAGTACATTTTGCCGCACGGGTCGCAAAATAATAATGACTGGCTAACTCCCCCTTTATTATGGCCAAATTCTATAAGATCTCTGGAGAATACAGTAACGCCGCTCATTCAACCTGTTTATAAAAAGAAGAAGTCAAACCCATTAAATCTAGTACCATGCATGTTGTAGAATATAGTATAATGCTAGACGTAGATATAGTCTCACATACCACTGTATTTTCTTTCTTATGTTGTTTGTAACTGCAATTAGCCCTCGGGCATGTATTTGCAATAAACTTTCTATAAAATGCCATGCATCTGATTTCTTTGTATTTCAGTCAAAGCGAGACTAATGCAGATCGTACATGGCAATAATGTACCTTTTATGCTGCATATAGTGTGCCCTCTAGAATTGTCGAGCAATGAAGCTTAACAACATTGGAAACGATCTGCTCTCTTCTGTTTCAGCTTCCTTGTCCCTGCAAAGTGTACTGGAAGGTCTTCAAGCCGAGATGCAACATCTTCAGACGGAGATGGAGGCCAAAGAGCAAACGTTCCAGGCTGAGTTACAACAACTCAGAAATGAAACGGTAGCCAAAGACCAACTTATGCAGGAAGAAGTGCAGCGAATTCAGGCAGAGTTTGAAGCCAAAGACCAACAACTTCAGGCGGAGTTTGAAGCCAAAGACCAACTGATGCAAGCCGAAATCCAGCAACTTCGGAACATAATGGCGGAAAAAGACCTACGCATCCAGGACCTAGAACAACGGGACTACATCGAACGTTGTAAGTAGTGATTTTATCCATAATTACAATTGCCTAATTGAATGTAGAATGCACGAAAGTCCAGTAACATTTAATTGATAGCTGCCGTCAAGATACAGGCAGAGAGAGAGAGAGAGAGAGAGTGAGGGCGGGGCGATGCATTTGCTCATGGACTGGGCTAACACGCTTTATTACAGTTTAACACATTTGACATTTCCGTACTAGGTGAAAGCGGTACATTGGAACCATCAGGACCTTTGGCCTCCGGTTCTGGCACTCGCTACGTTGACGTGACCGGTACGTTCGACAGGGCCTTCCGAAGAACGCCCGTGGTGACTGTCGCTTTCTTGTACCTGGACCATTTTCCCGGTCACATTCGGGCATCAGCTGGTGTGACGTCCGTCTCCACAACAAGCCTGACGGTGCGAATCAGCACCTGGTACGACTCAGGCCTGTACTATGCCAGAGTCCACTGGATGGCCTGTGCATGAGATATTATATATAAGGTAGAATGATCTAATTCTCGTGACACTATGAAGTGTGAAAATAAACTACTTAAACTCCACTTAAACGTTTCGTTTCATCTAGCCATTAAAGTTAATTTCTCTCTTCAACTGCAGTCCTACAGGTACAATCTTTTCAAAGTCTTTCTTCATCTCCTTCTTATTCTTCCATTGTGCCACTGATCGCACACATACAGAAAAAGAAAGAGACAGACAGACTCAAAGACACATAGACAAACACGCCATGACAGCTCTTCAGTCTTCGTGTGTGGGGTGGGTCCATCATGGTACGGTAGAGATTGAACCCAATTGACAATGTCACGCAATTAAGTGTAGGAATCCCCTGTAAACATTTGTCTACTGTTCTACTTCAACATCCTCCCAACTTTTAATTTCCCCTACTCATGTTTTGTATCTTTCGCACCCCAACAATTATTTAAGGTACCCAACACGAAGCTGATTGTGTGGGTAACCAGACTGGTTTGTTCACCTGTCTGTGAAACGTGTCGGGTTTATTTTGGAACATCGCTGGTTTCCTTCGGTAAACAAAGCAGCCCACACCTGCTTTGGGAAGCACGGTACTGTATGTGGGATTGTTTTTAAACTAAGCGCAGTTCAAAACTAGTCTCCACCAGACTCCTTTGCAGGTTGAATAGATAGTCGAGATCGGCTTAAGAAGAATGTAGTTGGCCAGGAATGACATTCGAATTCATCCATACCGACTTCTGCACTGTTTATTTATTTATTTATTCATTCATTATTTATCTATTGCCACACCTTACATGCCGCCTACACACATTTGCTACTTTATATTTGCTACATACCGCCAAAGCCTGCTATCTGCAACAGCAGGGTGTAAACGATACCCTCGTCCGAGGACACACTTTTGCTACTTTACATTTGCCACAAGCGCGAAAGCTTCCTATCTGCAAAATCGGGGTGTAAACGATACTCGTGTCGCCATGGCAACGACACTTGCGCCTACACACCTTTGCTACTTCATATTTGCTACATAGCGTCAAAGCTTCCTGTCTCCACCACAGCGCGGTGTAACCCGATACCTTTGTCACCATGGCGACGGCACGTCCGCGCGCGAGTGTACACAGCAGCACGCTCTTGACCCGTGCGAGGCGGATGATTGACAGGACAATGGCGCGAACGCGCTACAGGGTTAAAGTTCAGGTTAGAGAGTTTACGGTAAGCGCCATGGCTTAGCCTAAGTCCCTACCAGTGAGACTTGCTACTGGCTTTATACAGGAGAATATTTGCCAGGGGGGTTTGGCCGCCTTGGGGTTTGACTGGCCGCGCAGTTAAGAAACAACCTTCCGCCTGGCCACTTTTACTCTCCTCTTTGCCCAGGAATTCTGTGATCCGTATTCCCGTATAGAAAGGCCTGGTGGAGGCTAGGCATGGCTGAAGGCGGTCACACAGACCTACTGGCGAAAAAGTCGACTAAGGCGACGCCAAACCGGTATGAGGAGCAACCACCTAGCGGACGTTACACACAGGTGAGCCCTGCTTGCCCCACCTGCGGTCAACAGGTGAAAGTGACAGGTGTTTCCGGTTTACCTGTGGGCGGCGTGTTACATGTAGGTACACGTACAGACGGGTTAGACACGGGACAAAACTACAGGTCCGTGGGGAACAGGTATCACAGAGAATGTCTTCATCACACCTACCGACAACAGTTAGGTCATACAGGTGAGAGGAGCACACCTCGCACAGGTGAGAATGTCGCCGCGTCAGAAAGCAAACACCGCTATTGTTCATTACCAGGAAAGACCGGAAGTCTGCCCTTAACACTACCGTGTGGTAGAGACTGTGGTGAGAATGTGGGTGGGAAAGGTGCGGCGTGTGCCCGCAATATCCACACCTGTGGTACACCTGAAGTCGGCAAACAGGGTGAGGCGAAGACTCCTCAGAACATCGCTAGCGAGATGGCCGAGAGGATCTTAAAGAAACTGACCTCCTTGGAAGAAAGCAGACGCGTGGCGAAGGTGGAGAAGACGGAAGTGGAGACACAGATCCTTAAACTGAAGGAGGAGGCTATAAGGAGCGTGGAAGACAGCGCCAAGACGTTAATGGAACAAGTACGTCTTATCTTTGACAGGTGGGAAGAGGACGTCAAGAACGAGGTGGAAGACTTGACGTCATCACTACAGAGTTGCCATGGCAACCGCAGGCATAACTACGTCGGGACGAAAAGTCAACTGGACGTAAAGTTGCATCGCAACTCCCCCAAGCCACCCAGAGTCGAGCTCGTACCCAACAGTTTTGAAGGAACCGACTTCACTCTAGGCCAGATTCGAGTCAAGAAATTCGAAGAAGACAAGGCTCGACCACAAGACGTGCTCTCACCGCCCTCTAGGACGTTCACCTCTTGGAAGTCCCGTTTTGGGACGAGCGGGACGAAAAGGGGACAGTTTTTAGAGCCGCTTTGCGTCACCGCCGCCTTGGGACAAGTCTACGTCATCGACCGGGCGGGCGGTGGGCGAGTCCAAGTGTTCACATTAAGGGGGGAGCAGGTTGGAGAATTTACGCTCGACGTGGGGAAAGATTTGAGCATAAATGGTTGCGGACTGTCTTCAGACGGCAGATGTGTTTCCTTTGTAGGCAGTTTGTATGAAGGGACGCTAGGCGTGAACACGACGTATACAAACGTCTTTGCGAAGTACACCAAAGAGGGCCGGCTGGTGACGAGAAGGACCCTGGACGTCGGGTCCAACCGAGACCCGGTTATTGACGCCGCGGGGTTTGCGGATGGCAGGTAGGTTTTCAAGCTTTAGTCAACCCAAAGTATGGTTTTAATTAGCTTTTCAGTTAGTTCTTAAAGGGGGCTGCGTGCACTTTTCGGAAGGCGTAATCAGGCCTTTTAGTCTTCGTAATCCGTAGGCAGCCTCCCAAAAATCAACCTAATTCGTAATCAGTACATTAGCCACAATGCTTAAAGTCGTAATGAGGTCTGAGACTTTAACGTAATCCATAATAAGCGGCGAAAATTTTGCGTAAGTCGTAATCACCCCCCCCCCCCATGCAGCCCTCCTTACAGTGCGGTCACATTTGCCGTACGATTGTGACGAATACCCACTGTTTGTGATCGTAATGCGACAGTACCACTTGTATGACCAAACCTATAGTCAAGTAAAAGGTGAAGGTAAAAGTTCCATAGCCTCAGGGCCGCAGGGACAGTGCATTGTTAACCGGTTTAACCACCCTTCAGCATAACACACCGGCTTCGGCCTAAACACTTTTCACTACAAAGCATGCGAATATTAACTAGTTTGAAATAATTGAGAAGTTTTTTTTTTTTTGCAAATCCATGCCCGAAGTCTAATTGCAAGTTAAGCCATGTTGATTTGATTATATGGATGACATCCGAGCGCGCATGAATTTTCGGCCGTTTCCAAAAAAAAGTTTTCAACCATACTGTAAATCGTGCAAAACAGTTGCTAAATGAGCAAAAATATACCATAAGTTGCAAGGAAAACATTTAGAAACGATACCAATGACGTAGAATGCCAAAATCAAGGGAAAAAAGACAAAAATGTAAAGAAATGAATTCGAAGAGTAGATTATTCGCCATAACATATTCTGTGCCATTTGTTCAACCTTCATGACCACGTAGATTTCATAGTGAAAGCAACTTTTTTTTTTGTCAAAACTTTTTTTTTAATTTTCGCACGCGCGCATCAGTTTTGGGGTTTCCCGACGAGGATGTCATCCATATGATCAAATCAACATGGCCTTACCGGGTATTTCAGGATTCCTCCTGTAAAGGTCAGAATTGTTCGTTTCACATTTCATTTCTACTGGCCTGAACGGTAGTTACCTGATAAAAGCAATGACTACACTCCCAACGGTAAAAGCTATCTTTATTGACTTAGTCAAGCTAAACATTGC